TTAAAAAAAAAAAAAAAAAAGCTTGGTCGGAGCTCATTGTGTTTCTCAGTGTCCTCTGAACGGCACCCATTCCTTCTGACCCACATCGGAAGACTAAGCAAGGGCACTCTTGGTGCCTGGACAGACGTGCACACCCAAGAGGCCAGCAGAGGAGTTCCCAGGCCAGTGGTGCGCAAGTGACTCAGCCTCAGAGCCCACACTTACTGCTGGACCCTCGCGGCCAGGAGGCCCATGCAATCGAACCCAGCGTGGCCTCCCCAACAGGGAAAGCTGCCTGCGCCTCACCCACACCCCTTTTCTCTAGCTCCCAGAGGGTCTCCAAACCCAGCTGGGCTTCCAGAGCCCAGGTTCCACCTGAATGGACACGCGGCCACTTCACACGGCTGAGGGCTGCAGAGGGCGCCTGGCCCAGCCCTGCCTGGAAAGGTGCAGAGCAGTAGTGTCCCTGTCACCCAAGGCCTCAAGCTGCGGCAGGACAGGTCTTCTTCTACCCCCGGCTCCCATCATGAGAATCGCTGCCTCTTCCTCCAAATTGAAGCCAGGGCCAGTCAGGAGGCCCTTGTTGCTCAGCTCCTTACTCCCTGTCTTCTCTAAAATCCACCAACCTGGCTGGGTGTGGCTCGGTAGGTTCCACCCCAGCACCTCACACACAAAGACCCCACAAAGCCAGTTCTCAGACCCCACAGGGGGAAGGGCTGGCAGAGCGTCCTGGAGAGGCAGGTCCTTCTCGACCGTCACAGCGCTGCCTTCCTCTGGCCAGTACTGCACTCCTGGGAATTCATCTAAAAGAAACCATCAGAGGCAAACAGAGATTAAGGGATAAGTGTTTTCCATGTCGAAAATTGAATATCATCCAATAAGAAAGATGGAATCAGCCATAGAAAATGAAAAGGTCACTAGAATCTTATCTTGGAACCCTGTGGACAATGAACAGTATTAATGTATTAATGTTTAGTGGAAAAGCAAGACACGGTAATTTCAAAATGTCCTAAGGGCCCCTCCAAAACATACCTCTGAGTAGTGGAATTGTGATTTTTACTTGTTTAAAATCCTTTCCTTTCCTTCCCCTTCCTGTTGGCCACACTCACTGACCATCCATCACTAGCAGGACTCGGGGATAAGTGGAACGGCCCTGGACCTCACTGACCTCAGATGGAGCTGGATGACCAGCATGTGGACCCACAGGCGCACACAGTAGGGCTGCAGTGAATGTGAATGAGTGGACAGACAGACGGATGAGCGAGGGCAGTAGGTCACCACAATCCAGAGAGGGGCCAGCAAAGCCTCCCCCTCCGCAAATCCAAGGAACAGCTCCTGGACGCTGCCCTGAAGAACGTGCCCAGACTCAGCGTAGCACTTAAGCCAGCAGCAAGCTGAGCCTAGCAGGGCAGGGAACCAGCAGCATCCTCTCCCCTGGCCAAGAACGCAGGCTCAGGCGTCCACTGTCCACCCCGTCCACCGCCGTGATGCTCCCACTGAGTCACAGACTTTTGGGGGAGGGGGGCTGCACCCAGGAGATGAACAGGGATCCAATTCTCCCCTCCAGTGCCCCCCGCACATCCAGGCCAAGGGTTAGGACCTGGTGCACAGCCCCGGGCCTGCTCCAGGCGCCGAGGGGCTCTGTTCTCAGGACAAACACCCACCATCTCCTCCCGGAGCCTGCGCTGGCAAGGATGGGCCAGACATCCACAACAGACCTGCCTGGCACGCGTCTCCTATGACGACCACCTCCTCCCACCCCGCCAGGGGCTGCCAGGGACCAGCCAGAGGCACTGTGGACACGGTGGAGCCCAAGCTGGGCCCCTGAGGTCCCCCACCCCCAGGAACTTAGGATCAGGGCGGAGACAGCTGCGGGTTGCTGAAAATAAAGACTGTGAACCTCAGTAGCTGTGGGGTGGCCACACCTGGACACGCACTCCCCAGTGTGAACCTGAGCAGCTGTGGGGTGGCTGCACCTGGACACGCACTCCCCAATGTGAACCTGAGCAGCTGTGGGGTGGCCATACCTGGACATGCGCTCCCCAATGTGAACCTGAGCAGCTGTGGGGTGGCCATACCTGGACATGCGCTCCCCAGTGTGAACCTGAGCAGCTGTGAGGTGGCCACATCTGGACATGCGCTCCCCAGAGCAGAGTAGGGTGCCTGCAGAGGAAAGTAGAACTGACACCAGCGTCCCCCCTTCGTGCTATGACAGATGGGCAGGAGGGAAGAAGCAGGACACAGACAAGTCTGCCCCAGCCCTCACTGGTGCCTAAGGCAGGCACAGGGTAGGAAGCTGAGTGGACACTGGCCCAAGGGAGAAAAAGGGGCAGGGCAGAGAGCTTCCTCGTGACCTGGGCAGCTCTTTCTCCCAGCCCCTCCTATGCATGACCCCTCTGCCCAAGATGGTCTGATGCAGGTTGTTGCTACTCACAGGGCTGACCCATGGAGCCTCCAGGGCCTCAGTCCCTCTCTGCCCAAGTCCCCTCTCAGGGCACTCCTGCCCTATCTGCCCCCTGGGCAGGGCCAGTGTCCACACTGCCCCCCTGCTCTCTCCCATCTCCAGCATCTCCTCGGATAGCACACCCTCACCTCCACGCAGTTCTCCATCTTCAACAGCTGCCCATGAGGACATGTGTGGCTCACCAGGAGAGCCTGTGGAACAGACCTCTGGGCCACCATTCAGCAGGTCTGAGCTGGGCACGTGGGTGCCCACTGCCCGTCCATCTGTATACCCCTCTGCCTCCCACCTGGTGTGATCCCTGGCTCTCTCCTTCAGCAGGCCTGAGCCGGGCACAGGGACCCCATCTGAGAGCCTGCTGCCCGTCCATCTGTGGTGTCCATCTGCCTCCCGTCCAGTGTGACCCTTGCTTCTCTCCCAGCAGGCTGGATGAACTTGAACACCTTGAACTTTCCCTCTTGGCCACCTCTCTGTGGAGCCAGTCCTTGGTCCTTCACAGCCCTGGCCTCCTCCTTCCATTCTTGGGGGACCGTGAGAACCTGTGACCAGCTTGCCCCTCACTGCCAGAGTCCTCCACCTGGGTGCCTTGTCCTCAGGCCACTCCCACTCCAACCCTTGACCATGAGAGATAGGATGCTGAGGCCACGCGAGCCGCATCCTGTATCCTCGTGGACATGTTCTCGTTGCTCCTGGCCAGGTGCTCAGGTCATATGCCAAACGTGTCATATGTATACATTTTACTTAATGAAAAGCCCTGCCTGACTATTTTCTAAATTAGCTGTACCGTTTGGCATTCCCTTCTTGCCCATAGCTTTTAAAATCACTGTATTTTCTGCTCTTAGCTGCTGAATGATTCCACAGAGGAGCAAACACCTTCTGGACCCCAGCTTGGCTGCTCCAGATCCCACAACCTGGCCCACACCTACCTGTGCAGCGAGACCCCGCAGAGGGCACAAGTCCTGGCCAAGTCCCCTGCTGAGGGCCATTGCCAAGTAGGAATGACGCATCGAAATGTCCTTGCCAGCGTACCCCATGTTAAATGGACTTGCCTTGGACAGCATGTGTCTTTGAGAAAGGTGACCCTGCTCATGGACCAGGGTGGATCCAGGATTAGGGTGTATCCTGCAGGTTTTAGGAAGTATCCGGGTTTAAGATAATTTGGGTTTAAGGCGTTCCTGGTTTAAGACAATCTGGGTTTAGAGGGAAGTTCTAGGTTTAAGGTTATTCCTGCTGGGAATAGGGATAAAAAGCCTTGTGAAGTACCGAAGGGCGCGGCAGAACTGGGATTTCCCCAGAACATGTTTGTGTAGAGGCTGGTGTGAGTTCGGGAATAAAGAATTGATGTTTGAATCTACAAGGTGTGAGTGGCTCGTGATTCTGTGCCCAGCCAAGACTGCAGCAGTCCCCCATGTGCACCCTGCATCCTCAGGGCTCCCAAGTCAAGCCCCAACCTCCCCCTCCCCAGACCCAGACACACAAACATCTGAGCAGAGAAACGTGATTGTAGTAACCTAGTCCCAGCCTGTCATGTGGTCTACTCATCACCCCAAACAATTAACACTATCCACTGAATGATTTCCAAGAGAAACTCTCCACTCCAGTTCACACTGGCACCGTGTTCCCACCAGCAGGGACAGCTCCTGGAACCTTATCAGGTGCGTTTTCCTTCCCTGTGGAGTGTCACTTGAGCCACACCTTTGTGGCTGGGAACAATTCTGCTACCCAACCTCAGAGGACGCCAACAGAACCCGTGTCTTCATCCCACACATCACTTAGGCAGGTTCTTGGAGAGAAGACCCACAGTGAGATTCTGACAGCCTCTCTGTGGAATTCGATGACATGCACCAGAAGCCCTTGAAAGAGCCACGTGTGTCTATCCACAACTCCACTGCATGGACTCCAGCATGGAGAAAAGACCCTAGGCAAAACTGAAAGCTGACTGTTACACGTGCAGTCACACACAAAGAGCAAGACGACAATCGACGGCCACAATCAACACTCGAATCTGACACCTCCTGTGCTCCTTCATAGTTCTCTCACACCGAGGGGCTTGTGCGACAGCTGAGTCTACTGTGCTCAGCCTTCTAGAATGGACATAACCACCCGTAATCCCAGCAACTTGGTTGGGGCTGGCCAAGTTCAAGGCCAGTCTCAGCAACTTGGTGAGGCCCTAAGAAATTAGTGAGATCCAGTCTCAAAAAATAAGGCCTCTGCCATGGCTCGGGGTGGGGGGTGGAGGGTGGCCACCATGGCACCATCCCAAGGGCTGCCCAAGGGGCTGGCTGAGGCCATGGCAGGGCCAGGTGCTGGTGGGCAGAGGTGGTATCAGCTGTGAGTCTGATGAACCTGTGGTCACCGCTTCTCCTTCATCCACCTGGAGCTTGGATGTGAGTTTCAAGTGTGTGAAGGTGTCCTGGACACGTGGGGTGACAGCTTCCTAATGAATATATGAGTGACAGCAGAGCCTGAACAAGGGATACTGGGGAGAAGGGTTCATACATTCTTCTCCTGATTGATCTGGACACCACTGATGCCAGCAGTCTCCACGGGCAGGCTTTATTTTGAAGGAGACTTGTTGGAAGGTCAAAGGCACAGGTGGCCAGAGAAAGCGAACATGGAGCTTGCCAGGACAGCAACATGGCCCCGACTAGAGAATGTCCAGCTTCTATCGCATCAGACCACAGAGCTGCACAGCCATGTGAGTGGGACGCATCTGGCAGCTGTCCCTCTTCTTGAGGGGGGAGTGTGGTCATCCTGGACAAGAACTGCCGTCCAGAAGGGAGGGACTGAGTGTCACAAAGCTGCCCTGGCCAACCCAGAGACCTTTCCTGGCTGTAGGTTCCCAAAGCCCCTTCAGAGCCTGTTCCTCGTATTGCCTGGGCAGAGCGTTTGGCCAGGAAGACGCTGCTCGGGAGTGTCACCCGACCGCTGACCCTGGAGCTGCCTGGGAACCAACAGCAGCTGGAGCCAGCGCTCAATCCTCTAACGAAGATGGTGACATCAAACCCATCTCCACAGAGGAACGGGCAATGTCAACCAGGACGGATCCAGTGAAACTCTTCACCAAGCTTGTTAAGGATGAGATCAGGGATCTATCAACAGCGGGGAGCCTCCAGGTCCCAGGACTGGGCGGAGCGCAGGGGCAAGAATCCTAGGCAGCAGATGTACAAGCCCGCTGGGTCGGAAGGACCAGGGTTCTAGGTAAAGAGTCTTTCCAGAGAGCACGGAGGGTGGGAGTCTGTGTAGCAGCCGGGGATGGAGCTGCGCTCCTCTGGGACACGACGGCCCACCCACAGTGGATTCTGTCACTTCCTCTGCAAACCTCAGGAAACACATTTTCAGCATGAATATGAAGAGCAGATGTGATGTGAAGTCAATGACAAGGATGTGATTCCTGCTGTCGTTAACTGCTCCTGGTGGCTGCCCTGCTGACGGTAGGGGAGGGGCCAAAGGTTTTGTCAGGGAAGATAAAGAACCAAACCCAAGAAAGAAGCCCCTGTGCCCTGCGCACTGGACTCTCCTAGCCACTAGACCCTCCTAGCCCCCCTCACACACATAGACTGCATGGCTGAACATCCACCAGGTGACCATCCTCACCCTGCAGATAAGATGGTGAGAGATTTGCTACAGTAGCCCAGACGTCCAAACTGAAGATGGGAAAGGGTCAGCTCTAGGTCCTCGAGAGGAGAGAAGCAGCTGACAATCATGAGACGATGTCAGAACTGGAATGAGAAACAGCGCCTGGCTTCCAGTGGGTGACTTCCCTCTGGACCACACCCCTTCACAGTGAAGACCCGGGAAGGATGTTCAACTTGAGGTCGTCAGTGACGGCCCTGAATAGTGGGGCCAAACAAGCCCATGGTGGGGCCAGCAGCATGCAGGTGGCCAAGAGGATGGAGCCCTGCGTTCCACCCACACAGCACGAGGGCGAGATGGAGCACTGCCGTGGATGCAGAGGCCCTGGAGCAACACTGGTATATGCCAGGGGACTGTCACTGTGAAGAGGGCACATACAGATAGATAGGATGGCCTTAAGCTGAGCCAAGTCCTCTCACTAGGTTATTGGTCACATCCTTGGTCTGAAGGGAAAACAATGACAACTGTGACTCCAAATGGTTCTGCCCTCTTTGAAAGTACTTGTTAGAAGGTTGGAGCGTGTGGAAATGAAAGCAGGGTCCAGTTTAAACCCCTGGGCACAGCATGTGAGTAACCAGCCAGGACACACCACTGTGCATGTGGCCTTTTTGATGCAAACACCTGTGTGTCAAGGTGTTACTCAGTAGGTAGAAAAATACGGTGGTCTAGTAAAGAGCTCAGCTAGCATTAACACCAGGCCATTATTTTTGGTTACAGGAATTATTTTTAGCCCAGATCTAACTATTTTCATACTCTTGACTGAAACAGATTTGAAGAAGTGTGCACAGAATGTGTGCACGGAAACTGGCTTAAGGTCGTCACTCTGTACATCAACGTAACAGTGTCCACTGGCTCAGGTTTGCACTGCCTGGGCAGTCTGCATAAGGAGGCAGTGTGTGTACTGTCACAGTTGCAGGTCACTGACATTTGGGGTTTCCTAAAACTCAAATGAGGACTAGGCTCAAACACATGGCTTCTGCCTACTGCTGCATATGCCTGAAGAGCTAAAAATAAAGGTGAAAACAAAGGGCTGGGGTGCAACTCAGTGGTCAACA